CACGTTTAGTCAATGGATAGGCTTCACTTGTCTCTTTGATAAGTTCTAATATGGTGCTACGAATGGCGAGGCTCACTGACGACGCTGACTACGATGCCGGCGAAAAGTCTGGGAATGTACCACGTCCACGGTCCTACTCTGGAAATGATGATGCATAGAATGAACTCCGGACTGGGTGCGTTCCTCTAAGTCTTCCTACCAATAGGACCAAGTTGCGAAAACAAGGTCAAGCAACTTCTATAAGCAACAAACTAAAATTATGAGATGTATTCACACAATTCCGTTTAAGATGATGAAGGACTGGTAGTAGAATTTTCTTGCAATTATATGAGTAGAGCTGACGTTTCCATTGAATTTCACACAGCCTCGCTTTCTCAAAAGTTTTTTTCATCCAAAATGGACTACAGTTTCGACCTCGCATTGGTCTTATAAACACCTGACTTAATACTTCTCATATTAATAATTTACGGATAGTCTCGAAACTCTACTTAAATACGAAAAACTACAATAACCCAAATAGACAAGTTAATTCAACCCTTTGATTAATTTCATAATTATTCTGCTCTAAGGATTCTGATATAGAGCTGATTCTAAGGCTCATCCAAAGACATCTATGATACGTCATATGAAATAGGTTGTACCATTGATACAAAATTTCACCACTAATTAACGCAAACAACGATAAATGATCTATATGAATAAACTTGTAATTGGCTAAACAGCTAGCATAGCAACAAGAGCATATATCCCATATAGTTCGATCGAAATCTTATTCACTATATGAATAAATTCTTTCTAACTACAAAGGACCGATTTTTACGAAGAATCCATAAGCCACTTACACTTCTAACTGTTATCAGGCTCTTGGAATAGAAATCACAATAGCGCCAATCGAGAGCGATTGTAATATTTAAAAGGAATAGCCCTTTATGAAACTGTTTCCCAAACAAATGAGCTAAGAATGGCCTAACAGCCAAAGCTCAAAGTTCACGAAGTATTAAGAAAATAAGAGCCCCTAGCTGACTTTCCGAGGCGAAAGCTACTATGAAATTGATCCGCGTTCGACCTCGGCGCAATTTTATGACTAATTTCCTGCAGAAAAGATTGATTATTGTCCTTCTCTTTGAACCGAGATGCCCTCAGTACAGTGTCTCAGCCTTCCATTGCGAAGACAATTCTCTACGTGAATATAATTGCTCATTAAGCCGCTGCACATTGCCCCTATATTATGGCGAAGTCAGGTGAACCTTCAAAATGGGCATCAGCATCAGAAGCAAGGCAAATTAAAATGATCTTTTATTTGAGTATGCGTAAACAGAACAATTGTCGATACATCAGCAAAAGTAATTTAGCCTGGGAATGACATCACATTAACGCAGTATATCTACAAACCTCGACTCATGCAAATATTCCTGCACTACATATATATAAACTCGTACGCCTTTAGTTATATATAATTCTATTATTTTATATCTTATTTCTTCATCTTATATCGTGCCATTTGGTAAAGGGAATGGAAGGAAAAAATTTTTTTCTCGGCGTAAGGAAGTGATTATGCAGAATGTGCTCTATACATTAATTTTAAGCGAAAAATCTTTTCATTATAATATAATGGAGGAGTAGACTATTAACGATGTCGTGGACGTCAATTATTATGCTATCATCTAATTAGAGAGGAAGGCATATGAACAGATAAAGGTGGCTCCTAATAGATTCGAATATCTCGGGAATATAAAACTTTTAAAATGTACACTCATGATTCAGCCTACTCCGGAGGAAGTTCAAGCAACATCAGCCATTTTCGTAAACAAATATTTGGCAGATCAATTATCACTAAATAATATGTTTAGCCAAAAGTTTATTCTAATTTATACAAGAGATATAAAGAGAATTTAGATATCACAAAAGAAGCTGCATGCGAAGACGAATTCATTATTACAGGCAACTGAGCTTTGCCAAATAATGATTTTTCAAGAATATAATTGCTTTAAATAAGTGCTAGTATTGAAAGAGCGATGTTCTGCTCTTCAACAGTTTAGAAGAACAAGATACATTTTTGAATCGGTTCATTGAAAGCGAACAAAAAAGTACTGGCTTAGAATTTTTGATATAACCACATAAACCAGTAACATTGCAAAATTAAGAGACTGCTGAAATTTTAGGTGATGCTTGAGCGCCTAGATAGCCCGAATTAAGCTTATATATTTTAATAAGGCTGGGCTGACACGAAAGAATAAGGTACTAAATGCTGCGTCCTGGGCCATAGTAATCATGATAATAACCAATATCGGAACTTCAACTTGATATATTCCGCGACGCCTTAACGCCATCTCCGTGTCCATCCCCAGTGAAACAAGGCCCTCCTAATCACCGAGCAAAAGTTCGAGTCAGTTCAAGCCACAATCTTGCAAGTATGAATAATAGTTGATAATTTTTGGCTTACTTGCATTAAGCCGATATATTTTGTTCATATAAATGAATAGTTTGCATATCCAGTTATAAGAATCTTCTTCCCCACTTATAAAAAGCTATCACAAAAGTTGTTCAAAATAATTCAAACTTACTTGTGTAGAAGAAGTGTTGCATTTCATTTCGGAGGGTTGGACGCAGTGCCTCAATTGTAAGTCTTGGTAGCTGATCGAGTCGCGACTGTAGTTGACTGGAAAGTCCAGCCGGTAAGGCTGAAGCTTGAGCAGAAGGCTTGCTAGAAAAAGCAGGTGAGGTCGATGACTTAGGTTTGGTAACAGTAGTTATGGTAGTTTGGGCGTTGGTTGGCGTCGCGTTTGTGATAGTGTTTGTTGTAGTGGGTATAGATGTGCTGGTGTTGATGGTGTTGATGGCGGTATTGGTCACTGAGTTCACTTTGGAATGAAGATTACTTATCTCTTTCGCTAACCGAGCAAGATTGTCGTTGATGCTGTTAAAACGAGGAGCCAAATCCAGGCGCACTGAAAGAAATCAATAGGAATAGCAAAAGAGTAATATTAAGGAAGGCGACTGTGTATAATAACAAAAGGTCTATGGTTGGAGCTTTAAAAGGGATTATAGGTTGAATCAGTTTCACACAGATTTTTTATAGAATGAAAAATAACTACTACCTATTATGTAAAATTTTTATCCAAGGCTTCAATAATGCCATGAGAAAAAACCTTAAAAGGATGACTACCTGAGCTATACCAAGAAGTTGGTATTAAATACTAAATCAGATATATGGATTAGGAAAATCTTAAGAAGAAAATATTAAAAATCGAGAAAACCTTAATGGAATAAACTCAAATAACCAAGAAAGAATAAA